TTATTTAACCGTAATTAGCATTACAGTATTATATATTTTGCTGTTTACACTCCATTCTTCAATTGTACTATTATATTTTGTCTCTCATAAGCCAGGTATGGCTGGCCTTGTTTGAGGGTAAGACCTTAATAAATATATACCTTGCCTATAATTATGTGCATTCAACCCCACTTGAATCTATAAGCATTATGAACCAATCAACCAACCAATTGTTTTGTTTTGCCTTTCAAAAATGTTTTATCCGATGTCATTAACAAAATAATAATTGACAGTGAACAAAAACTGTCGCCTGCTCTTTCACAATCTTTTCATAAAGTTAACGTATGCACCGTTACGGTATCCACTCAATACTCAATACAAAAAAAAATGCACTATTATTTATAACAAACTTGCATCTAATCTCCAAGTCTACAAATTTATAATTCCATAAGAATTAGGGTAATCAATTTAGACACAGCAACACATTGATAATATTTTTCGGGAAAACACTCCATATATTTGTCAACAATCACAGAACTCAGAAACATACAACACCCTACTAATTCCTTGTGACTGTTTACCAAACACCTGTGTTTTTGACCAGATAGCCTAGTACAGTATCCCGGTAGAAATCAAGCATTATAGCTTGATGATGATGTGTTGAGGCCTCAAAACGTGTGATTTATATTAGATTAGTAGGTGTGTTATTGAATTGCAATCAATCCCTTGTTGGTCCTCCAAAAAAATAACAATATAAGTGGTTGGCTAGAGGTTGAGTGGGCTGCCTTTGTAAATGGCTATAAATCCACACAAAAAACCCAACGTACTCTTACAGATGTAGTTTTGAACTGATTTACAGTTAGTCAAAAAAGGAGATAAGAAGTTGTGAAATATAAGTTGTTGAAATATAGAAAATACGTTGGCCTATTCATTGTATGAAAATCACTAAGGGCACATATAAAAAATTATTAGATTTAATATCAAACTTTTATTTTTTTAAATTGATTTTTTTTTTATTGGAACAATAGATTATTTCGCTTTTGTTTTTATCGATGAGGGAGGGACTGTTTATATTTGGCCTGTAATAGTAAATATTGTATAAAAACTGGTTTAATTTTATGGTTTTTTAAATAAAATGTATTTGAATTCACACAGTTGCATAGTTATTTTTATGCTGTTGAAATAATTGATGCGGCAAAAAAATTTTTTTTTTATTCCCGCATCCATATTTTTTTTTTTTTTTTAAATTTAATTTTTGACGCGGGTGGGAGTGATAATTTAATAAATTTTTCTATTTGCCCTAAATATTAGACAACAGTATGACAATTGTATTTATGCGGGGTGGCCCCCAATTTCTTCCTGTGTGGAGGGTGCTGTGTGGAGGGTGTGGTTAAGGTTAACGTATCACGGTTTTATTGTATTTATAAAACGGTTACATTTCAGGGAGTTAATAAGATATAAAATGGGCCAACAGTGATAAATGATATGTTCTTTGGTAATGAGACAACATAAGCATCATCAGATGGTCTTCATTACATATAAATAATTGGGGAAGATTGGACTATAACTACGATTACCCCCTAAAATCCGGAAATTTTTGTTGCGAAACATTTCCAACTATATATTAATAATTTGTTGGATAAGACCCATTTTAAAAACTGATTTTGGTGGAGTCTAAAAATGGAAGAAAAATTACGCAACCAAATAAGTTAGGGTCTTTACGAAACAACATTTTCCTAACAGGGTATTTATATGTCATAATTGAGAGCTAAAAAGGGGTATGACCCTAAAATTTCAAATGGCCGTAACTTCTGTACGATTTGGAATTGGCAAGTCAAATTTTGGGTTTGTTTGTCAGACATGTTGGTGCACATTATATCCGAGTTTCAAGAAAATCTGAGACGGTACCCAGCCATCCCATTTGTTGAGTTGGCACGGAATGACCCAGCTAGCGTATTTTGCATTTACAGAATTGTAACAGTTTTTTCCGGAAATGCGTCATATCATGCGAGCCAGGCCCTCTCGCGGCAGTGTATGAACTGCCTATGTTTATAATATTAGGCAGTTTTATGACGTCATAATTTATTCATCTTGCGTTGCGGAGTATGTTAATTTCAGGATTTTACGTGCTCGACGTACGTTAGTTACGGGTTTGCGCATGCGTATTATGATTTGTTTACTAAAGGAGCAGAGCTATCGCGCTGCATGTTGGGTACTAATGTTAAAGTCAAGGTTAAAGTTGTGCAGCTAAAACTACCTTTTACAGGTAATAAGGGAGGGTTGGGCTGCTTGCGATGCTATTTTCGACTTGCAAAGGATGGCCTTTTCTAAACATTATATTCATTTATCTAATTCGTAATTTTTATACGAGTATATATAGTGTATACTATTTCATTTTTATATATATATAATGATATATATTAAGGTGAAATATATTCTTATGTGCCTAACTTAGCATCAGTTGCCTGTTATATCCTATTATCTAATATTACATGATCTGATGTTGATTGAAATTTATTTCATAATTGCTTGTTTATACAAAGTAGGCGTATAATTTTTATCAATAACAAATTTTCACTTGTATTTATAATTCGTACATGAAACTGTATATTGACATGCATTCATACAGGGAGAAAATAGTAACAGTACTGCACTGGGGTGGATGCAGACGGTATGACAGTGAAATTTCCAGGCACCTAGAGGCAGTGCGGGGTGGGGCAGGGGTGTATGCCCTCAGCATATAAAAATAAAAAAATAAAAATTAATACTGGCCTTCACCAAGCCAGAACATGACTTTCGCAGTCGTAGAGAGTGCCATTTCTGGCCATTCAGAGGTCCCTATTTAAAACAAAATCTCATTGGGGAGGGGGACACCCCTCTCAAACCCTCCTTCTCAGCAGGCATACCACACCCACCCCTCCCCTTCCCCGTCAACACATAATTACCGTCAAAATGTGGTTGAGGTACCGTAGTATGCGATTATAAAGATTATTGGTCCTAGGTTGGAAAATGTTAAATGTTGTTAATAATAATAATAAAAATAATAAAAAAAATAAGATCGATTAAATAAGACTTTGAAACCCTTAAATTGTCAAAATTTACGGCTTCTTCGCCCCCTGTACCATTTCGAAACCTTTTAATCAAAGCTCGACCACGCCCATTTTGCTTTCGTCTGGGAAATCTGACCCCCCTGTCGAGCAAATCCTGGCGCCACCCTTGACCAGGTTGGAAAAAATGTTAATGTTGTTATTGTTATTGTTATTATTGTTGTTAATAATAATAATAGTAATAATAAAAATAAAAATAATAAAAATAGTAGTAATAATAAAATAAAAATAATAAAATTACAATTATTAGTAATAGGGCAATCGCATGTTGTACATTATTAACAATAACAATATTATATTGATGATAGTAATAATAATATTATTAATGTTCCTTTTTTAACTTGAAAGCTGGGGGCCTAGCCTATCCAATTATTAAATAGGTCTCGGCTATAAGTACAAGAATAGATGGACTATAGAATAACTAATACCTAAAAACTACCCTAAGTTTTTATACACACAGCCGATACGCGGCGCCCTACTCTACTGGCCTGCCACCATGAAATTTGGTTGATTACATGATTTTGGGCTCGCTGCTCGTCGTACAGCTACTGTAGCTCGGTCCCAATTGCATTGCCATAGGGATTATCTATTAATTAAAACACCACACCGGTAGGCATAAATGTTAATGTTAACTTGAAAGTTATGCCTTAATATTGTTTATAAAGTGCATTATCGCCTTGCCTAATCCTTAAAAATCGATCAACTTGAAATGAAGACGGAACCCAAAGCAAGTTTCTACGACTGACATTTTTTTAGTGGACGTTTAATTCGGATTTGGAAGTTGTAGATTCATCTGTGTGTTACAAATGCCTAGCTTCACTCATTCCTCAAAAACATGTTGCTAATTATGGAGAAAATTTGTAGAGAATGAAATAAAAATTTTTTAGATTTGACTGTTAAATAAAACCATGAGGGTTTCTTATTTGTTTTAATAAAACTTTAAAAATTAATCTGTTTACACTGAGCTTGTTTCTGTCTGCAAGCCGTCATGCACTACAAAAATTTGGGCGATCTGACGTCATCACAGCCAAGCACATTTTGACCAATCATGACCCCACGAACAAAATTAACCAATTAGCAGGCAGAGTTTAGGAACCCCGACCTAATGTTTTTTCACAAAGAATGTGTTGTTTAGAAAAAAAAATGTCAGACCGAAAAGGCAGGTTAAAAACAATATAGCATGAAACATACAATCCAGTTTGATTTTATTCACATTTACTCATAATACAATATAAAAGACATTAAATAACTTGATTTCATTAAGAATAAAGTAGTGTTTACCACAACTGGTACAACTGGTACCAGCATAGGCCTGGGTTAGCTTGGGCTAGGCCTAAAATTTTCACGTTGGCGTTGGGCAGCTGCACTTCGCCGTTTACATCGGCATTGCCGAATGCCGGCGTTAATTTTGAGGGCTGGCTGCCCCTGGCATACGTATTGCAAATAATATTAATTTTAATGGAAAAAGTTTATTTCCAAGGAAAATATTTAATACACAAAATATTTCCCCATATCAATAACTCTATTTCTGTTTCATAAAATGGTTCTAAATATTTTATGTTACTATATATATTATAATATATTATTTTATAAAAATGATATTAAACTGCTATCAAAATCTGTACCTAAACGCAACGCTAATTGTCCATGAGGTTTATAACAGGCAACATGCAACCTATTTTCTTTTTAGTGGTCATCGTGTTCATTATATCAAAATAATCACGGTGTCGCACACTAGATTGTAAGGGAGCGAAGCGAGTGCACCCTCTAGTTTATGTAGGCCTAATTATAGTATGTATATACATACATATATATATATATATAACTTTTATTCCATTAAAATATATATATAAATATAAATATTTATATATACATATATAATATATATAATAATAATAATTTTTCATTGTACAGAGCTTTCAAGTGAAACGTTCCAACGGCGGCCGGTTGTTTGGCCTACTAGATTTTCAAGTTGGTAAGTGTGCAAATACACAAGCTTCAATGTACCTCAATTAGCTCTAAAAACAGCATTTAATGCTATGATATACGCCAATAGTAAAAAAATATGCATTTAAAATTATTAAATAAAATAAACAAATTTTTATGAAAACTGCCCTGCGGTGTAGGTGTAGTAGCGGCTAATTTTCGTTAATCACTTTTCTGCCACAGGTCGATGCAGTCTCGATAATGGCATCTCCGGTTTTTCGTGTTCTAGTGAAAGGAATTGTATGAGCTTGAGAAAGCTCTGTGACAACATTCAGCATTGTCCTAGGTCAGAGGATGAATCTGCTGCAATCTGCAACACCCGAGACATTGTTCAACGGAGAGAAGACAACCCCGGTTGCTCGTTCCAATGCAGTGATGGCAGTTGTTTGCCGTATGAATTCACCTGTGATGGAATGTCTGATTGTTATGGTCATGAGGATGAAGACCCTGTGAAGTGTTTGCTGAGAAGTTCATGTCCTGGAGACCGATTTTTGTGCTCAAATGGTAGATGTATTAATAGATCATGGCTGTGTGATGGCGTTGTCGATTGTCCAGAACATGACGACGAAGAAATACATGTATGTACCACTAACGTTTGTCATGAAGATGAATTCCGGTGCCAGCAAGGCTCATGTATTCCAAAAGCTTGGCAGTGTGATAATACATTTGATTGCCTTAATTCAGAAGATGAAGACAACTGTGATTGTTCAAACTTGGAGTTTAGGTGCAACAATGGCAATTGTGTACTGGCATCAAAACTATGTGATGGCTATAATGACTGCATATGGGGCGAAGACGAAAAGGACTGTGGATGTACAAGTTATGAATTTGAATGCAAAGACAAATCGTGTATTCCTACATCGAAAGTATGCGATGGATATAATGACTGTGCTTGGGGTGAAGACGAGAAGGACTGTGGTTGTACAAGTTATGAATTTGAATGCAAAGACAAATCGTGTATTCCTACCTTGAAAGTATGCGACGGATATAACGACTGTGCTTGGGGTGAAGACGAGAAGGACTGTGGATGTACAAGTTATGAATTTGAATGCAAAGACAAATCGTGTATTCCTACATCAAAAGTATGCGATGGATATGACGAGTGTGCTTGGGGTGAAGACGAGGAGGACTGTAAATGTTCAAGTTATGAATTTGAATGCAAAGACAAATCGTGTATTCCTACATCGAAAGTATGCGATGGATATAACGACTGTGCTTGGGGTGAAGACGAGAAGGACTGTGGTTGTACAAGTTATGAATTTGAATGCAAAGACAAATCGTGTATTCCTACATCGAAAGTATGCGATGGATATAACGACTGTGCTTGGGGTGAAGATGAGGAGGACTGTAAATGTTTAAGTTATGAATTTGAATGCAAAGACAAATCGTGTATTCCTACATCGAAAGTATGCGATGGATATAACGACTGTGCTTGGGGTGAAGACGAGAAGGACTGTGGATGTACAAGTTATGAATTTGAATGCAAAGACAAATCGTGCATTCCTACATCGAAAGTATGCAATGGATATAACGACTGTACCTGGGGTGAAGACGAAAATGACTGTGGATGTACAAGTTATGAATTTGAATGCAAAGATAAATCATGCATTCCTACATCAAAAGTATGCAATGGTGTCAGCGACTGTGTTTGGGATGAAGACGAGAAGGACTGCGGTTGCACAAGTTATGAATTTGAATGCAAAGACAAATCTTGTATCCCCACATCGAAAGTATGCGATGGATATAACGACTGTGCTTGGGGTGAAGATGAGAAGGACTGTGGATGTACAAGTTATGAATTTGAATGCAAAGACAAATTGTGCATTCCTACATCGAAAGTATGCGATGGATATAAC